CCCCTCATCAAAGAAAGTTACCTTGTAACAGAGACCATTATAGAAAACTACAACCAACCAAAATGTAGAGAACAAAAGATCATGTGGTACCCAAATCCAAACTGATACATTTGTAAAACAATTCCTGCACTGAAGGCTCAGGGATTTTATCAAAATAGAAGGCAGAAAGATTGTAAAATGTAGAGAAGCAGGAAGCTTAAACCTATGCCTCTGAGAAATGTCAGAGAGGGAAAAAAAAAAAAAAAAAAAAAAAAAAGGCCAGGTGGTGGTGTTGCGCGCCTTTAAATCCCAGCAATCAGGAGGCAGAGTCAGGTGGTTCTCTTTGAGTTCCAGGACAGTCTGGTCTACAAAGCTACGCAGAGAAACCCTGTATAAGAAAAATTTAAAGAAAAAAAAAAAAAAAGAAATGTCTGAGAGGCCACAGACCCATGAAGTTTCATCAAATAAGGCCTGAACAACACCAATAGACATGCTAATATGGAAAGGGTCTCAACACTAGACAACTATGGGCAGACAGAAAATGAACAGAAAACTTATCTTCCCCAGATGAGAGTCTTTCTAATATATTTCAGAATCTTAGTACTTCTCTATTTCCGATCACATTAACAAACTCATTTAGCTTCATACACACATTGCTCAAAGACCTTTCTCCTGGGCTGGAGAGATGGCTCAGAGGTTAAGAGCACTGACTGCTCTTCCAGAGGTCCTGAGTTCAATTCCCAGCAACCACATGGTAGCTCACAACCATGTTATGAGGAAACCCTGTCTCGAAAAACCAAAAACAAGATCTGGTGCCCTCTTCTGGTGTGCATGAAGGCAGAATGTTGTATACAAAATAAATAAATAAATAAATAAGTAAATAAATAAAAAAAGACCTTTCTCCTAAGATGAAACTTTAAAAATCAGTTACAGTCATATATTTCTCTAATCTTGTCTAATCTAATAATCTTCTAAATATCTCCTGAAGGTCTATTTATTCTCAGTAGGGTTCTATTTGGAGTGTAAAGACTTAACATGCATAGTCATAGCTTTCCAGGGGACAACTGGGCATTTGCATTGTTATTTTGGCCTTTTAGCTAAGATTAAGTCTTGGAGTGTTTTTGCAGTTTTCTTTGTATCCCAATTACTTCAACACCTGATTATCTGCATTAGTTTTTTTACCTTATGATGGAAAGTAATGTTTTGACAGTGTTTCACAGTTCTAGGACATTCAGCAAGGCCCATATTCTCTAGAATGTCCATTCAATTTGCCTTTATCTTTAGCCCTTCTCTGGACTTGTAACTGCTCTTAATTTTAGTAATATGATGATGTATTGCTTCCTTTCTAGACCTTTTCACTACTGAGGATGGAGTCTAAGATGATGCACATTGATCAACTGAGCTCTCCAGGAGTAGGGAATCAGAACCTATAGTAAGTGGATCACTCTACCAGCCCTGAACAACTCAGTACCTGATCTTACTGTGCTATACAGCTATTTTAAATTTCTAAGTGTGTCAAGAAAAAAATGGGAAGTAAAGCAAGTGTTTAGTGTTTCCAGACTGCAAGTAACATTAAATATTATTTAGCACAATGATCACATCTTAGAACTAAAGAAATGAAACCTAGAAAGTTGAATTTCCTTAAGGTCACACTGATAACAGAAACACAACTAGTATCTAAAACCATAAGCTCCTGACTTCTGAGAATGTCTACAATCACACTGCTTCTTAAATTGTCATTTATGTAATTCTGCCTTTTCAACAACACTGTAAGGTCTTTGATAACAAGGTAGTAAACTGATTTTAGTATTACTAGTATTTCAAACTGTTACAATTTAGGGACTTTAAGGGGTACTTAAGGAATTCGCAGAATAAAATATTTGTTATAAGAAAAGCAATTAAAAACAAAGCTCAGATTTGCATACTATACCTCAAAATGTGTATAAACAGTATAAATACTTGTGTATATCCATACATGTGCATATGTAGAATATAAGGAAAAGAACAAATATACTTTGGGAGGAAGGGCGACCACAGAGAATACCTTAGAATATGCAACATGACTATGGCTATAGATAAGCCTAAAAAGGTTCAAAGTGCTAAAATTCAAACTACAAAAAAGTTTGAATACTACCCATAGATAATTGTTTTGTATATGTGTGTGGAGCCCAGGGATCTATGCTGGTTATCTTCCTCAACCATCCCCAAATCTTTGTTTAGATATGTGAATATGGTGTTAAATATATTAAGTATGAATGCAGAGGCCAAAGGAGGATGCCATGTGTCCTGATATATTACTCTCTACTTTATTCCTTTGAGACAGGCTCTTTTACTAAACCTGAAGTGATGCCAGCAGCCAGTAAGTCCTAGCAACCCTGTCTCCATCTGTTTACAGTACTGGAGTTATAGGCAGATTCTCAGGGTTGCCCAGCAAGCATTTCCTACCCATTGAGCAATCACTCTAGTGCCTCTATCCAAAGTTTTGAGATAAGGTCTCTCAATGAATCTAGAGCTTACTGATTCAGGTAGTCTAGCTGGCCAAGATGACCCAAGGACCCTCCTATCTCATTTCCTCAGCACTGGGATTTCCGTACGTAAACACTGCATCTGGCTTTTTTTCTATGAAGGTTCTGGAGATTGAACTCAGGTTCTTGTGCTTGACTGAGCCATTCTTCAATCCTTCAAGTTCTTATTGAAAGAATGCTTCCAAGTACTGCTCCTCTGCCATCTGACACACATAAAATGGCTATGACCTCTGTTCTAGAAGTACATTAATCTTTTACCTTAAAGCTAACAAACTATTTCAGTAAAATTTCTTTATTGTTCAGGTCTCCAGGGCATTTCCAGTTGTTGTTCTTTCTGCCTAAGCAACTGAATATTGGCTTGTTCCTTCATATTTTTAGGTCTTTGCTCAGGCAGCATATTCTTCACAAGGGAGGGAGAGGGAGAAGGGATTGACATCTGAAGCAAGCTTGTTCCTAATTTGAACTAATAAAAAAAAATTCATGTTCTAAGGCTGTGGGTGGTGTCAAATATCTTTAATCTCAGCACCCAGGAAGCAGTGGCAGGTAGATCTCTGTGAGTTCCAGGCCAGCCAGTGCTACATAGTGAGACCTGTCTCAAAAAAAAAGAAAGAAAGAAAGAAAGAAAGAAAGAAAGAAAGTTCTAATTACTTAAGCTCTGAAACATTCTAGTTGTGAAATAGGCTAGTTAAGAAACCATGAGAATACTCAACTTCCTACATTTCTGCTGTCTCATCAATAATAATGAAAAACAATCTATCAAAGCCAAATATAGGCTGTTCGAGCACCAAAGAGAAAATTACATAGGTTTAAATACACTTCCTGCCACATCAGAAGCAAAGAATAAATGGCAGCTATCATTATAACTGTCATTAAATATTGTAAGGTGCATTATCTATTAATTTCAAGTGCTATTTTAAGTAAAGATAACTATATTGCTACGTAAGTATTTTCATATTCTCTAATATATAAAATGATGAACAAACAATGAAATAGCAAGATAGGCCACAGTATTTATATAATCAGTAAAATTTATAGTGAAATTGTATTTATAGAGAAAAATGCTCATAACAGAGTTTTAGTTGAAAAACTCAACACTGAGTTTTTTATTTTATTTAAAACATTAATAAAATTGGATGAAAAATAAATGTAAACTTTCTTCAACTTATTTTTCAAATGCAAGTAGCATATTGGAAAAGTCTACTAAAATATTGGCAAGAGCTATTTTTATTTTTTCTTCCTTTCCATATTTTCAGTTTTCTAAACTGACCACGTTTCTTTAAAATTCCAAATAGTATCTAAACTTTAAAAACACAACACTTTTGAGAAAGCAATTGCTTGTGACTATCAATCTGCCTTTGTGATCCTCTAAGTGATGTGAACTGACCAATTTTATTTGCACACATCTATTATGGACATACATGGGGATGAGATTACTACTTTCATAGGTTTGTAAAGCTTAAGTATGTTAATAAGATTTTTATATAGGAGAAAATGATCCCAATAAACCTAAAAAGGAAAGGGGAACTGAACCATTGGGTGGGATACCTGAGTTGGTAGAGTGCTTGCCTAGAATGTACAGGACCTGGGTTTTATCCATAGCACTGAATAAACTGGGTATAGAAAAATATGCTTATACTCCTAGCACTTGGAAGGATCAGAACTTCAAAATCGTACTCTGAGACACAGTAAGTTCCAGGCTGGCTTGGACTACAAGAGATCTCTCCACCACCATGAGACGGCTCAGTGGGTATAGGTGCTTACTGATAAGCTTGGAGATCTGAGTTCAATGCCTGGGACTCACATGACAGGAGAGAACAAACCCCTACAAGTTCTTTTGTTCTTTTGTATTCACACACACACACTCTGTAATGTGCCCCTACACACACACACACACACACACACACACACACACACACACACTAAACATGAAAAACAAAACCGAGGAACTATCAATTATCAACATACCATGATGGTTCTGACTAAATTCATCTCAATCACCAGATCAAAGCCATGCTTTGCACACTGGTACAAGTAAATATGAATTATTTTCTCTTTCTTTTCCTTCCTTCCTTCCTTCCTTCCTTCCTTCCTTCCTTCCTTCCTTCCTTCCTTCCTTCCTTTTTTTTGAGACACGGTCTCACATTATACAGGTAGGCCTAAAAGTATTAGGTCTCAAACCCTACACAGCCTGGTCTTCCTTCCTTTCCCTACTAAGCACTGGGATTATAGGTGTGTACACAAGAGCAATCTTGGAAAAATTTAAAAATATAACTAAAAACCAAAATACTACTATAAAAGCTAGACTGATCATATCTCTCTCCCTCTCTGTCTGTCTGTCTGTCTGTCTCTCTCTTTCTCTCTCTCTCTCTCTCTCTCTCTCTCTCTCTCTCTCTCTCTCTCTCTCTCTCGTGTGTGTGTGTGTGTGTGTGTGTGTGTGTGTGTGTACATGCACATGCCTGTGAAAACAGCATGTAAACAGAAATCTAACAGACTTACCCGTTCTGCAGTTGACTCCTCTCCAGGTAAACAAACAGCAGCAGCACAAGCTATTTCCATCACAGAAGAGCTGGTAGGAGCATCAGTTGTGGATGAAGACCTGGGTCGACCTGACTGTATAACAGCAGCCACCTCTTGGCCAGATTTCCTGTTGATTTGGGGACTTCCCTTTGGGGCTTCTGACTTGCCCCGCCTACTATGCAAGCTTGTCCCTCTCTTCATCTTGGGTGGCACTCGGATCTGTTGCAGAACACGGTTCAGAGCTGTGGGGTGGGTGGAGACACCATCAATCTCAGCACATGAGTTCTGACTGTCCAGATCCACTTCAGGCTCTGGATCTGTCTGAATCTGCTGCACATCGTGTGGAGACACTGATGACCTCCTGCGCTGGTGCTGGAAGAGGTGCTTCAAGCCTTGGCCAATCACATTAATGTTCTCTAGAGCATTGTGGGTCATTTTAGATAACTTTTGTTCTGATTCTGTCTGCCTCCTGGCTTCTGCATCTTGGGATTTGCCTCCAGGGTCAGGGTCCTCATATAACTGTTCACTGCTGGAAGGCTCCATCAGTAAGCTTAATAAGCTTATTTGCAAACTCAAAAAATTTTAAAAACACCAAGACTGTCAAATTAGGTAGGCATTTGCTTCAACAGTGACTATGCATGCAGCTGTGAGATGGAGGCTTCATGCCTACCTAATGTTAAAAAAAAAAAGGAAAAAAGGAAAGAAAATAACCTTGTGTCATACATCCATGCAAAAATACAGAAACACTACAGTTAAAACACAGAAAAACATGCATTTAGCCAAACAAATAAGTTACTATAATTAAGCAATCTTTAATCAGAAGATTAAAAGATAATTTTTCAAAAAATGGGTTATGGTATTTTCTGGAATAAAAAACCCAGAACAAGGATACAGGAAATGAAAATAGCAATGTCAGAAATAAAAAAAAGAAAAGAAAGAAAAGAAAAGATCCCTTCATATGAAGGATACTAAAGGGCCATCTTTGAATAGACACCATAACAGCAGCTGGCAGGACAACCAGCCACTGCTTAGAAAAGCAAGAGAACAGACCATCTAGTAGTTTAGTCTAGCTGAGGCAATTAAATACTTTTTATTTAATCACAGATAAGTATATACATGCTGAAATCCAGCAAATTCAAATAGTGAGAGAGAACTATCCTAACCTATATGGATTTTAATGAAAATTTGGAATCTCTTGCTAGCATCCATTCGTATTCATCAAGCTCAATGGTAACCAGAGGTGACAGGTTTGCTCTTTTGGGATAACAAAACGAAAAATCTTGTGAATGGAATTCTTTGCTGAAGTCAAAATAACCTTTCTGGCCCCAATAAATGAGCAGTCCAGACAAATCAGTATTCAGAGAGCATAGAGCTTTGCTCAATACCAGCTGTCAAAAAGGGAGATTTGAACTGGGGAGCAGGGTGCACACAACCGTAATATTAGCACTCAGGAGGCTAAGACTGGAAGGTGGAGAGTTTAAGGTCAATCTGGACTACAGACAACAAGTTCTAAGTCAGTTTGGACTATACAGTGACACTAAGTCTTTAAATGTAAAAAAAAAATGCAGAAAAGATATCCAAAGAAATCCCTTTTTCAACTGTATTATTCTTGATAGAAGCTTCCTATCTGTCTTTATAAACTCAAAAGCAAAGATGTACTGAAGTAACTGGGTACAAGGAAAGGGCCAAGAAAAACCAAAGGTCAAAGGTTAAATAGCAATGATAAGGCAGTATTAAATACAGGAAAGGAAGTTGAAACTAAGAACATGATTGTCATGGCTACTGAAATCACATGCAAAGGGGAGGGGTGAAAGGTCAGGGATCAGATCTCTTTTCTTTAATAAAAAGTGTTTTATTTTTATTGAGTTTGTGCAAATATATAAAATTGTATAAATGCATAGAAGCTACTAGAGAGGACAAACCATGGTACTGGAGTTCTTGCATATTTTCTCTAAGTTTTGTTGTTGTTTAGAAGACTTTAAAACTTCCTACATTAAGAGTACCCTGAACAATCTTCCACTGCCAGTTAAGTATTGCAAGTTCCTGTTCTGGGGTATGGGTCCTGTTGCCACCAAGCGGCGAGGCAGAAGGCATAAATGAGCTCACTGTGAGCACAGGCTACAGTGCAGAGGGACAGGAAACACAGATCCACTCACACTCCCTGATGACTATTCTCAGACCTTCACATCACAGGGCATGAACACTGGTACTGTGGCTCCATGGTCCCTATTCTTTCAAACCTGTTTCCCCATCTGCTGACTCTGAATGACTCAACAGCACTAAGAGTGACAGGATTAAAAGCACTCATCTCTCACTGGTACCTTCCTACTTTCTGAACACCATGTTTTTGTGTTCTTGAAGGAGGCAACTGAGAGCAGCTGTTAGGAGTGGGGAAGCATGCAGTCTTCCACTAAAATTCTCTGTGGTCTATATGGCCTCCTACCCCGTTCCTAACTGTACCCTGTTCCTAAAGTCAAAGCAAGGCTGACAGTTAACAGGTAGTTTGTTGTTTTCCTTGTTTATACTGTATTAGCCAAATTGTACAACTGATCCGGTTATTGTTAATAAGTAAAACAAAGCCAGTTTACACTGTCAGATGAAAAGATACCATAAGTAAAAGAATGCCACTGCTGGGCTGTGGTGGCGCATGCCTTTAATCCCAGCACTCGGGAGGCAGAGGCAGGCGGATCTCTGTGAATCAGTGGATCAAGGCCAGCCTGGTCTCCAGAGCGAGTGCCAGGACAGGCTCCAAAGCTACACAGAGAAACCCTGGCTCGAAAAACCAAAAAACAAAAAAAAAAAAAAAAAAAAAAAAGAATGCCACTAGCAGAGAAACTAAATGAAATACTACTTGTCTTACACATGAGGATATCTATCAGGAGTCAACTACTCAGCACATTTTTCTTTGGGCAATGTTGGGACTAATCAACTGAACTGACCACTTGTCTGCTTCCTATCTAAAACATTTGGAGTATATGGCATATTTTAGATGCCAGTTAACTTCATCTGAAATTTAACTAGGATTTGTACATTGTTTTTTTTTTGTTTGTTTGTTTTTTTAATTGAAATGACAGATTACAAAGAGACGCTAGCAATCTCTAGGGAAATCTGTAGCATGCTCCGGTTTTTCCAAGCCAAGGCTCTCACTCACAGCTGTAAAGATGAGGGATGCATTCCAGTATTTCTAACAGCAAGACTTATCTTAATTATCCAGGCCCATAGAGCATGCAGCCCTAATACACCCAAGCCGAGTTTTAAGCAGTAAGATGTGATTAGCCACTTCTGATAGAAGATGTAACCTGGTAAGGGGCACAGCTATTATTTGCTGTGACATCACACATATAGAACATGGGCAGACTTGTGATGGCTCCTCCAGTCTCTGTACAGAAGATCTCTAAGGTCCCTGGTTGAGGTATGCCAAATATTAATGAAGACCAAGTGTGACAGCAAAATAACCAATGACAATAACACTGTCATAACTCTGCAAATACTGAAAGAAAGACTGTTAGCACTCGGGGCTGGAGAGATGGCTCGGAGGTTAAGAGCACCGGCTGCTCTTCCAGAGGTCCTGAGTTCAATTCCCAGCAACCACATGGTGGCTCACAACCATCCATTATAAGATCTGGTACCCTCTTCTGGTGTGTAGATATACAAGCAGAATGTTGTATACATAATAAATAAATAAAATCTTAAAAAAAAAAGAATGTTAGCACTCATGATACTCAGTATTCTCCAAAGACTTTAGGATGCCCCACCATTTTCTTCTTTAAGTCAGTAACCCTGGAATAAGTATAACTGTTGATCAGTATATGAAAACAAAACAAAACAAAACAAAAAAACAAAATTCAAAATCACATTTAGATCTCTGGTTTAACATATATAAGATTCTACTGTGAAGCTAATTGTACCTTGGTAAGAAAGAAATTTGGCGTTTCTTGTTTATTATCTCTAAAATGTCTTATAGTAAAGAGGAAAAGGTAGGGAAAAGGAAAAAAGAAGCAAAATGACATGATGAAAGAGATGTGAAATATGGGTGGGGAAAGAGGAGCAAGTACTAGCCATGTATACACCACACATTTCTGGTCATGGCATTAAATTCTCAGAATTTCCTACAATTTGTTTATCTACCACAGTTTTGCTTAAGACATAATATATGCTAAGTGCATGCTCAGGAAACAAGTTGCTTTGAATTAATATTAGAAATAAAGTGGAAAATTGCTTTTTTAAAATCCAACAAATGTTTAAAAGGGCACTCCACAAAACCATCCTGAAATACACACAAATTATTTCTTTTTATTCCTTTTTCTTGCTAACTTTTTTGTTTTTATATGGTAGTCAAAACATTTGGCACTGACCCAAACTATTTTCACAGGTCATGAAGACCTGGATACTTGCCTTCATTGCTCTTCCTCAAGCACGTCCAGAGGGCACAGGTGTCCTTTAAGAAAAAGCTGAAAAACAAGCATAAGAACAGAAGTGAAACTTAGCCTTTAGCTCACCTATTACAGACAAACAGGGAAAGGCTAAATGTATAAAAAAAATTACAATTTTATGTTCTATCAGTAGGAATGGGTAGGATAATTTTTTAGTTTTTTTGTTAGCATTTTTAATTTTTTAAAAATACAAAACAAAAATTGTAGTCAAGAAAAGATATATTGGAAAATATCAAAACTATCAGCATTAAAAAAAAGAAAATAGGGGCTGGAGAGATGACTCAGCAGTTAAGAGTACCAGCTGCTCTTCCAGAGTCCCGAGTTGAATTCCTAGCAACCACATGGTAACTCACAACCATCTCAATATAGTGGGATCTGATGCCCTTGTGGCATAAAGGCATGCATGTAGACAGAGCACTCATACATAAAATAAATAAATCTAAAAAGAAGAAAGAAGGAGAGAGAGAGAGGGTGAGAGAGAGAGAGAGAGAGAGCGAGAGAGAGAGAGAGAGCGAGTACATGCAAAGTGTAGTGGCCCCTGCCTTCATTCTTAGTACTCCAGAAGCAGAGACAGCTAATTTCTGGCCAATCTGTTCCAAATAGCAAGTCCGAGGCTAGGCAAAGCCACATAATGAGACTGTGTAAGGGGAGGGGTGAGGCTGTCACAAAGTTACAATAAATATTTTAGCAAGATTGTACTGAATAAAAAAGAGGCACTGTATCAGTTGTAGTCTTGAACTCACATTAAATTTAAAAAGATGCACAGGAAAACACCACAATTTCATAAACATTTTTTCAAATGCCTTTTATTTGCAAGTGTCTGTAAGCTTTCATTCAAAGTAAAGTCAGGCACTTATGACCCCAGCACTTCAGAAGATCACAAACCCAGGCTTCCCTGGACACCTAGTAAACTCCAGGCCAGCCTGAGCTATACAGTGAGATCCTACCTAAAAAACTGGGAGTAGGGAGAAAGGAAGGGGGAGGAATGGGGGGAATTTTAAAAATCTATTTATTATATACAACTGGGAAATGAAATGTATCAAAATTGAAAATTTCCTAAAAAACTAGCTTCTAACAGCCATCACCAGAGACACAATTTAGTAAGATGCACCACATAATATCTGTTATGTACTAAGCATTATAGAGACCAAATATAAATTTTCTCTCAGAGAACTCACCTAGCACAGAAAACAAGATTTGTATACTTAGAAGCTGAAAACAGTACAAAGCATC